GGCCCCTTCTTCGGGACGCAGAAGCGATCTGGCGACAGGTAAGTCGCCAGGATCGCTTCTGTTGTAAAGCCGACAGTCGGCTCTACAAGTTTAAACAGACTCCCGGCGGCAAAAGTTGCCGGGAGTCTGTTTAAACAGCCCCGATGCTGGCGACGTACACTGTACGTCGTCAGTCACGAAGGGGTTAAAGGGATTCCCTCTCACTTCCTATTTTGGCTAACAGACAGGAAGTGAAGGTAAATCTCCCCAATGGGACACAGATGGGGAAAAAAAGCGGACTGTATACTTTACACAACTAAAAAAAATTGTTTTGTCTTTTAGTTCTACTTTAACCGCTTCCTGGATGTAACAGGCCGTGTATATTAGCCGCGCCCATTCGGGCGCGCTGTGCGGCGTGCGCGGGAAAGACGCAACATTTAAAAACCAGCAGCGATGCCTGTTTAGCGCCGGCGGATCGCTTGTATAAGCTGCCGGCCCTTCAGACGCTGGAGAGAAGCTGATGAAGCAGATTGGCTTCTTCAGGGGGGTCCTAGGTGACAGGGGTCTTGGAGACCCCTGATGTCTCCATAAAGAGGACCGGTCACTTCTTTTGCGATCACATAAGGGGGTTTCTTAGCCCCCTATCTGATGGCACTAGAGTTAAGTGAAGAAGAAAAAATACAAAAAAAATATTAGTTACACATAAAGAATTTTAAAAAAACAACATTTTTTAAAAAAAAGTCCTCACCCATACATACACGCATGCAAACATGCGTCAGGTCCGCATACCTGCGAAAACGACAGTTGCGCCCATTAGGCTGCACATGTTGCATATCGCCGCGGACGTCTGAGTGAGAGCAATAATTCTAGGGCCATCAATCACTGATAACACTAAACTGATGAGCAGTAAAAGCTTTTAAAGCGTCGCCTGTTGTCAATTTTGGGTATGGTATTTTTTTGCAATTTCGCGGATGCGCGCAATTTTTTAAGCGTGACATGTTTGGTGTCCATTTACCCGACGTGACCCCGTTTTTTATATTTTACCAAAATAATTGGGTAGTAATTGTTTCCTAACATAATGTAAAAAAACGTATTTCTTCAAAATTTTCATAAATTTTTCCAAAATATAGTCAAAAAATCCCCCAGTGGTGAATAAATACCACCAAAAGAAAGCTCTATCTGTCCCCAAAAAAGGGTATAAAATTCATTTCAGTACAGCGCTGCATGACGGAATAAATGTCAGTCAAAGTACCGCAGCGCCGAATACTGAAAAATGGCCTGGATGGGAAGGAGGTGTAAACACCTGGTCTTCAAGCGGTTAAAAGGACATTTCCACCTTTTTTTGTAAGTGATTTTGAGTTTTTGGTGGCAATGGGGAGGTGCAGGGGGGATGTACATGTGTGTGCATTCTCAGGAGTTCAGGGCTGTTTTTCATACTTTATTTTATAGATTCTTTTACAGGCCAGAGACCTAGAAGTTAAAAATTCCCTCCACAATATCTTCAATCTGTCTCAGAGGGTCAGGTTGTTATCTCTAAACTGCATCAGCTGTTTTCCGCTCCCCCCCCCCCCCC